CAGAAAAAATATCATAAATTTGTAATTCGTCAACCTTGATAAATCACAACTCAAAATGAATCACAATTTTTCTTATTTGTGCCCATCTTAATCATAACTATCAAGAACGTGTGTTCTGTTCTTTTGATGCAACAATTTTAGGAACAGCATTGTTCATGCATATGATGTTATGTAAAACTGTTGAACTAATTTCATCAGTTCTGTAAAGTGTTTAAGTATACATATGTATGCTTAAGTTAAGCATATGTTTACATGCATATGCATTTATTCACAGCTGGATATGTGAATAAATACATATGCAAACATACACTTCACCTCACCATCTGCCAGGATGTCAAAGCTGAACAATAAGATGACTAAGTGACAGATGTCACTTAACTCCCTAAAGAGATACTGTTGCCAGTAAAAAGTGTACCTACAAACTGAGTGAATGGACAACATAACTGAATAACAACAATTCTAATTGTGTACTTACGTGCACACATGATGACAGGTCTTTGTTGGCAGTGTTGTCAAGGAAACAGATCTTGGGATCCTAGTAAGAAAAACATTAAAACATCAGTGAATTACATGACATTGTTAGAAAATATAACAGCAACAGCTTAATATTGTTCATGAGTTAAATGGGCCTTTTTTCTTTCTTCTTCTTTGTCTGCCTGTTGACAACTGATGAGATAGGCATCTCTTTTTGCTACCACACATTTCTTCTTTGCACTGTTCTATTCCTTGCCAGTCCTCTTGCTCTTTTAATATCATCCATCCATTATGTAAGGTTTAATTCCAGTAGGGGGCTCCACATCCATTTCCCTTTATTTGTCTTTGCAGGCCCTCTATTCTGCTTGATGTCACTCCATTACACTGGACAGAAGTAGGTCATTTTTGGGAGGGGACATCAGGTTATTTCTGAATGTGTTTGGACATAATATCAGATTGCTTGTCTCTAATAGAAACCTGTGATGCTGTGGTCCTAAAAAATAGCTATTACACCCTCCAGGACCTAGGGAGATAAATATCTTCCACACAAAAGCACATATAAGAATCTTACTATCCTTTTCTAGCTTGAAAAAAATCTTGCTTGAAGAGATGAAGTTATAAAATTGCAAATACTGTGGAGAAAGTGAACAGAAATAAATTACATACTCTTCTCAAGATAATATGAAACTGGGATGATTTATGTGGTTCTTCCCCTAAGTTTCTCTTTAGACTGGAGAAGAGGGCTTAACCTTTTGCTGAAGGCCCAGTTGAGTTCGCTATGCCATGTGTAATTGCAAAACTGCCTGTTCAAATAAAACAATCAGAAAAGGAAAAGATTAATAAACATGGGAGGGGGGGAACTTCTTTTGGTGTAAGTAAGGTCAGTTTCTTTTCTTGCAGAGACAATACCATTGCCGAACTACTGCTGAACACAGGCTGAAATCCTATGGACTGACATCTGCCTGCACAATGGGAATGATGTCATCACCAGTGGCAGATTATTGCTGGTTAAAGACTTCCTTTTGCCATTTCTGAGTGCATGTCACTTCACTGCATTGTACGCAAGCCATGCACACTCTGAAATCACAAAACGAAGCCTTTGGTCAGTGGCAGCCTGCCGCCGCCAATGAGATAAATCCTATTGTACAGATAGAACTCTGCAACAGGATTTCAGTCACAGACACCTAAGCTGTTACATTTTGAATCCATTTTTTTTCTGGCCAGCTGAAGTTGTTTTTTCCAGTATTGCTTAAAAATAATTACAATAAAACAAATTTAATAATAGAGTGTTAATGGTAACATGTTATTTCCGAACCCTGAGAACAATGTTTTGTGAAGTCCCCCTAAATACTGAATATGAATGAAGCAGGGTAATTGTGCTATAGACGTCATGTTCAAAACTACTCCTAATTTGGGGTCAGTAATCAAAGTACAATATTCTAGTTCTGACATGACAGAAACCCATGGTTTAATAAACCAAGAACCCTTTCTTGAAACTAGGAGTATAAGGGAAGCACTGACTATTTGAATTTATGGTTTGTTCCTGCTTCAGAAGGACCAGTTTGCTGATGCAAGAACATTGCCACTGAACACTCAGAGACTAAATGGGATGATTCTGAACCATACACCTTGTTTCCTGGTTTCTTAGAGCATCTGACAGGTGCACTGCTATAAATCGTCCTTCAGTCAGATACTGTACTTAACTATCTAGCTGTGAAGCCAGAGGTTGGAAGTTCAATTCCTCACTATGTATCTTGGAAGAGCAAGCCAGTGTGGCTTTGGGCAAGTTGCTTAGTCCCAGGGTGCTCCCATGAGAAGGGAATGATAAACTGCTTTGGAGTATTCTCTACCTAGAAACCCATGATAAGAGTTGCTGTGAATCAGAATTGACTTGACAGCACACATTTAATTAATTAAGTCAATTAGTCAGATCCAGCATTTCAGTTCATAAATTGTGTTCCTTTAACACTCCTGATGCATTTTGATTTTGGAAACTCAAAAGATGTTTATTAAAAACATTTACTGATTCCTTTAAAATATCCATCTGATGGAGCTTTCATTGTTGTCTGAAATGATGCTTTAAAAGTCTTGATGCCCTTTAGGCTCTTTAGCAGTGTGGGGAGCTTTTAAAGCTTATGATCCAATCTTTTTCTCTCTCTCTATTTCAGAAAGAGAAATTTCCTCTACAAAACTTAAAGGGTGATATAAAATAGATTTGGGAGGAAACATAGTTCTCACAAACCATCTTCTCATTTCCACTCACCATTCCAGTTGCTGTTGTTTTGAAAAAGTGACCTAGTACTAGAGGGTGAAAGACTGTTGGCATTGCTTACTGTCATTTCTTCCTGAACTTTATATCTGTGAGATATAAAGCTGTGATTGATAGAAATTCAGATTCTTCATCTTTCCTTGAAAAGGGGAAGGAAATAAATGCTGCCAAATACACCTGGGTTCTGACCTAGACTTTTAAGCCCAAACCACTGTTCCTGTCATCATCTTGCATGCTGTCTTCCTTCATGCCTAGTTTGTAGCCCAGCTGTGCACTTGGCATTTGCAGTGACATCTCTCTGGCTGTGCTAATCCTTTCCCTGCCCTTTTTCTTCTACTCTGTAGTTGGTTCTTTGCTGAATCTAAAATTTCCTATGAGCTTCACTATACTTGAGACTACTTGCCTCTCTTCCATTGTTTTGCACTTGGTTGTTTCTCGTACACCAAATGAAGAACATTGAATTAGAGTAAGAACCTTGGAAAATCAAAATTCAACTGTAAAGCAAAGCAATTTTAATGATTTTCCTGGCCTTCTGCCAGTGACCTTAGGTCTTGTTAAACATGAACCTGAACAGGAAGAAGCTGCAGATATTCATGAATTGATATAACGAGAGATGTTGGGAATAAATTTTCAGAAGACTGGATTTTAAAAGCATCTTATAGTGATGAAACAGTACAACAGGTTTATTTGAAACTGAGAAGTCCATTTTCTATTTTCCATGAATATTATTCAGTCAGCATTTTCTCAGTATAGTGCAAATTGGAAAACAGGATTTAAAGACTGGATGGGTTTTGGAGGTAACTGCTTTGGCCATTTACCTCACAGTTTCTATCCGACTGAGTGCAGATGAATTCAAATTAAAGCTCAGTGACTAAATGGTGTAAAGCTCAATGAAGTGAAGTCCTTTGTGAAATAATTTATTCTAAGTGAAGAATCATCTTTTTTTGTTTAGCTATCAGGGTAGTTTAAACTTGCTCTGATTGGGCTGATATCGCTTTTGTCCACTTTTTCCTCTGTGTGATTACCTAAATGCATGCAAAACACCATCGCAGAGGGGGTTATCAGTTCCTCTAACCCAATGGTTCCCAACTTTGGGTCCCCAGATATTCTTGGATTATAACTCCCAGAAATCCTAGTTAGCACAGCCAGTGGTAAAAGCTTCTGGAAGCTGCAGTCCAAGAACATCTGGAGATCCAAGTTTGGGGAACACTGCCCTATACTGAGTACCCCCTGAGTCCAAACAATTTCTTTAGATAAAAAAAAGCCTTCAGTTTAGCACAGGGATAGAGAATTGCTAAGACACTTAGGAAAACTACATTCCTATGTTAAGTTCATTGAGGCTTATTCCACATTAGTGGGTTTAACATTACAACCATAAATGTTCTTCAGAAGTACTGTTGAAATCTGAAGGATCACATCTTTATGGAATTAGATTCTTTATTAAAACGGAGTAGTCTCATTGTTTTATTTTGTGACAGATTCAAATTATTTCCCATGTATTTTTTTTCTGGACCAAGGTCTTCCCAAAGGTATTTGTGACAGCTTGATAATTGTGTTGTGTAATGAAAGGTGAAACATTCGTGTGAAGCCAGGGATAAGCAGAACTAGAGAAATATCCTAATTTTTCACCAAATAACCTCTACTGGTTGCAGTTGTGGATCCTTACACTGGTAGTATTTCAAGTGAAAGCCAGAGTTAATGTTTTCTAGTTCAGGATTGGATGCCATTAAAGGTGCCAATTCATTTTAAAGTTAAAGAAACTATTATCAATACAAAAGTCCATGACACTACAATAATTAGTATGATAGATTAGCTATTTTCTTTTTGCTGATACTGTAGAGTTTTCTGATAGTGAAACTTGTTTGCTGCTGCTGTTGCAATAGATTTGCCAATCTGAGAATTCAGACAAGTATTTACTGTATTTTTATTACAAATGAATTCACAACACCATGGCAGATGAAAATACATTGCCTTCCTGGGTTGTTCCCTGAGATTCTCATGAAGTTTAGAAATTATAAATAAGTCATGTACAACAGAATGGCTATACCATAGCAAGTCTGCAGTTCTAGGGTGAGCACTTAAGACACAGACATTCAAACATAAACATACATAAAATGAGTGCAGATGCATCCAAATTATAAATGTATAATTTAGTTGATTCTGGTGCAGGGGGCTATAACTGAAATGGAATATTCAAGGGTTTATGTTGTCCTGCTATTTATAAATCAGACTGAATTCAGTATTTTTTCATTTTAAGGTAACTGAGCTGCACAACATTAAAAACATAACTAGACTGCCTCGAGAAACAAAGAAGCATGCAGTGGCAATTATCTTTCATGATGAGACGTCAAAGACATTTGCCTGTGAGTCAGGTAAGCAATTATTACTGCATCTTCAGCTTGAGTAAATCAAGCTTCTTACAAAACAAAACTTCAGAAGGATTAAGATACAGCAAAGAAACAGGGTGCCTTATCTTAATGGGAACGTGCCATTATCACATTGATTTTTCTATCCTACAAAGTTAGCTAGATGTGTATGTGTGCTTCTGTTTGTAATTTTAAAAGACTAGTTTCAACCCTTGTTTATTACTTGTCTCTGTCTAGGTTTGGCCCTAGGTTGGACTGAAGGCTCCTGAGGCTTTCAGCTAAAATTCAGAACGGAGTAAACAATGCCTATGGGATATCATTAAGACAGGCAGTGAAGTGAATTCTTATTTTTTCCTAGCATTGCTATAGGCATTTGCTTGGGTAGTAATAATCTTGTCACTGTTAAGAGACAAGGAAAGAATGGCAAAAATTCCACAACATATTGAAGTTTAGCTTCATATTGTTTATGACTAGATTGGTTGTTCAGCTGAGAGATAAAGTTGGAATAGATCTGCTTTTTATAGCTCATGAAGCCACTTGCCATTACAGAGAACTATCCTTCTGACGTCAAAACAATCCTACTCGGAATTGCCAGGCTCCTTCGGTATATAAAACATGTAATCTATCATTAAGCTATGACCGATCCTCACAGTTTACATCCCTCTACTGGGGACAAAAAAACTGTCAATGTACTCCTGCACTGCTTCTTGTTTTCTAACTAGTTATTGCTCCACAGGAGAAACTGCCCTCTTAACTCAACTGCTCAGTTTTCTCAGGTCCTTTGGTGAGGAACAGTCAAAAACATTTTGAAAAATGCAAGTACAAAGTTGATCATCCTATCCACATGCTTGTCGATCTCTTGAAATAACTCTGAAAAGTTAGGTGAAGAAGGACATTGTGGAAGCTGTGCTAGCTTTTCTCCAGCAATAATAATTATTCTATGTGCTTAATATTTTAATTGTAATAATTCATTCCAGTAATTTGCCCAGGAGAAGCTGATTGGTGAGCGATTGCCTGGAATCCGTGCCCCATAAGTGTAGAATCGTTAACCATTAAAATTAAGCCTCTGTTTTACAGCAGGGGTGGGCAAGGTGAAGTCCATGGGTTACATGTGGTCCCCAAGAGCATCTTTGCAGCCTCAGGAGCCCCGTCTAAAAAGCATTGTTATTGTTACTTACAAAAAACCCACAAATATTTTCTGCTCCTGGAAACCTCCAAGGCACTTTCTGTTTACATTGTTTTAATGAAATAGCAATGATTTATTTTAAAAGGGGAGTGGGGCAAAATTTGTTCCCCAAATCCCCTGAGCTTTCCCACATCTTTGTTCTAGTAACACGGCAGTCCATGTCTCAGATATGACCTCTTGTAAGTTATCTGGAAAGCTTTCCCACATCTTTGTTCTAGTAACATGGCAGTCCATGTCTTGTATGTCTCTGGTATGACCTCTTGTAAGTCATCTGGAAATGCTAAATCACAGACATTGCTAATTTTGGGAAAGAAGTGGGAACTAATACCACAGAAGGATATGTGCTGGATACAACTAAAGAAAAGTACGAAATAGTAATGAACAGGCAGAGTAGGGCCAAGTCAGTTGGGACTTTAAAGATTCAACTATGTCCACAAATCAGCAATCAGAGCTGTACGTAGCAATGTTAGTTCCGTGAAGCTATGCTGCCCAATTTGTTAAGCTTAAGTCAGTAAAAACGGACATATAGAGAGGGTATAGGGAGGGGGAGGAATGCCTGGATCCTAATATATGACAGCCCTACTGGTTCCATCCTGAACCCACCTTTCTTGTGTTTCCTTTTGCCCAAGGTAGAATGGCTGGAGGTGGTATACATGCTGGGGGCAGGCAAACCCCTGTCTTCCCAGCTGCAATTTTCACCACCCTTTAAATTTTGCCACCCTAGGCCAAAGCCGCAGTCACCCCACTATAGTCATGCCTATGACAATGGTTTAAATCAATGATAGGTTTCCATCCCATAGTATAAAACCTGCCAACCATCATTAGTTCAGTCTTCCTGGGATTCTGTTATACCTGGGGGTCAGTTTAATCAGCAAATTGAAGCCAGAGAGCTTGATTGCTGCTTGTAGAGAAGCTTCACATATAAAGCTTAAAAGAAAAGGGAACCAAATGAGGCTTCATAGAAAACATTACCATCATCTTCTGAAGCAGTCCTATTCATTACACTATAAGGAGCGTTATGTGCAAGATTACCAAAATTTAAAATTATTTGAACCATTATTTTAGAAACAACAATGAATTCTAATTCAGAGTTCTTGTGTTTGTTTCAAGGGGATTAAATTATATTAAAATTTCCGACCAGGTACTGTATATTAATTTGATCAAAATGTATAAGCAATATAATACAAAAACACATACTAGCCAGGTTAGCCATACTAACCTTAAAAGAAATGAGACTTTCTTAGAGGAAAAGAAAATCTGTATTTCTGTTCTATCTAATGAATTGTAGCATTAGCAGTAACAATTTTGTCTTTGTAAACTGCTTATGCTGTATACAGATGTTTTTAAAACATTCATAAGAAATCATAAGAATTTAAATTGCAACTAGAGAAGCACCTGGAAAGCTGTTGTGCATGATTGGCTTTGTGTGTGGAAGGGCCTCTGCTTTGTGGTACATTTCTCAAGATAATGAGTAGAGCAGTCCTACCTATAGTTAGCTGTGCATGAGGGGGAGAATATTTACTGATGGAAGATCTGTGAAATCTACTGTTTAATATGATTCCCAATTACCTTTAACCTAGCTGATATTACAAGACAAAAAGAAAAACTTACTTCATTCATTTCATTTATTCATTCTTCCATTTGTGTCCTATTTTCTTTTCCATGATGGAACCAGCCTTAAACTAGATAATGCATTTAGCACATTTTTAGATAAGATGCTCTTTCAAATGATGGCAATAATCTATATGTCATAATGCCCAATTTTCCTCATCCATATAGGTTGCATTTAATACTGTATACTTTGTTTTGTGATGGCTCATTGGCTGCTAAACATCTTAAACAATTTAAAACAACATTAATTGCTGGATAGTTCAGTGGCTTAGGCATCTGGCTGTGGAGATAGAGGTTGGAATTTTGATTCCCCGCTGTGCCTCCTTGACAGAGGCTGGACTAAATAATCCATAGGGTCCCTTCCAGCTTCAAAGTTCTAATATTATTATTATTGCAATTAAACAAAGGAAGGACAGAATAAGAAATCAACAGTCTAATCAAAACTAAGCTTTGGTCACTAAATTCCAAAACCTCCTGTAATTACTAGCCCCCTAAATCTTGGTCAATGTTAGTGTTAATTTAACATTTTCATTCCAAATGAACACGTAATAGATAACATGTGATTTTACTGATACAAGTAATCCCTCTGCAAGTGCAGATCACAAATATTTCAGAACATTGTTGTGTTCATTTGACTAATTTATCACCTGGTTATCAGCTTTGTGATGACAGACATCCCTATTCATGCATTCTTTTCCAGTTCTCTCCATAATGTGAGCAGGGGAATGCTCAGTCCTTCCCCCTTGTTCATCAGTTTCTCCATATAGAAGGTGATATATGTACACAGATGTGGCTTCCTGTCACATATAACAGGAACCCAGGCTCAGCCAATGACAGCCAGTGGTCAGACCATTAGGCAGTTGTAGGCCAAGGACATTTGGGGCCCTGTATTTGGAACTCTCTGATATTGAAGCTTTATAATACTGACAGTTCCCCTTTCTTAATGATTCTGCAATGGAATCCAGCTTGCACATCATTTACCTCTTCTGCACCATATGTGAAAGGATCAAGTCTTTATTTCAGCAGAAAATATATGAAATATTATGGCCATAGTTTGTTTTTGTTTCCTTATATATTGTATTTAGTTGCAGTCCAGCAACAAATGTGTGCCGATGGGCAACACATGCTTATCATTATCAGAATTAGTTGATAATCCAGAACTATGTTTATATCAGCTATCTATAACAGCTAGTTAGCGTAGGGAATAAAAGCTTAAATGCTGGTACAGAAGCATTCACTCCAGATTCCAGATAATTAGTGAAGTTTCTTTCCAGCCATCAAACCATTTTTTTCTCAGTTCTGGGTTCCCTCTGCACTAATTACAGTTAACTACAGAACTTTCTTTCTTCTAGAAAGTTTTATATGACCATGAACCAGAAAAGTGTTATTTGAAAATTACTGGTATAAAGTTGGGTTTCAATTTTTAATAGATTAATTGGTCCAAACAAAATTAATGAACTGCTCTCCATTTTTTAAAAAATAAAATGGATATGAATATGTAAAAAGAAATATAAAATAGTCTTTTAAATAATTTTTATGAATAAGATTTAAAAGCAGTTTTAGCAAACATTTTGTTAAATATGAGAAGACTGATACATGTTGTCTTAACAGCAGTTTGAAAATGTACTATACGTAATTATTTTCAAATTTCATAGACTCACAGCAATGTAGAAGTGACCCTAAGAGTCATTGAGACCAAACCCTTGCTAAAGCAAAAACAAACAAAAAAAAACAAAGCGTGCTGCTTATATACCGCCCCACAGTGCTTCAAGCAGTCTCTGGGCGGTTTACAAGTTAATTATGCAGGCTACACATTGCCCCCCCCCAGCAAGCTGGGTACTCATTTTACCGACCTTGGAAGGATTGAAAGCTGACTCAACCTTGAGCCCGCTACCTGGGATTGAACCCCAGGTCGTGAGCACAGACTTGGCTGCAGTACAGCAGTTTAACCACTGTGCTACGAGGCAGAGTGAACCCATCCTTGACAAGTCACCATGGAAACAGTTTAAAAGCCTCCATTCCAGGAGAATGCACCACCTGCCTTTGAAATCCATTCCACTCTGTTCAACAGCTCTTACTACCAATAAAATCTTCCTGATATTTAAGAGAAAATGCTTTAAATTTGAGTCCATTACATTTGTGGGATTTGTTACCCTGATTATTTCGTAGATTTTTGTACTACCCTATTAGTGTGAGACACTATTCTGGG